GAGTACCTAAAGGCTATGATTAACACCAGATAAAGTTGGACTGAATAAAGCACTAGTACTTTGACTGCATTAGGTGACCAATCTGCCAACAAACTTGGGGATGACTTGCCCCTCGAGATTAAGGAGAAGGTCTTCGATGGTGACTTGTTTCAACTTTTAAAGAAAGATACTTCAACTTGCTTTGGGATCAAAGATCTCCTAAAACAAGTTAATATTTTGGAAGTTTCTCTAGAAGTTGCAGATGCCATAATGGAGTTGGGCTTGTTGGTTGACCATGTTGTTCCAGATCTCAACCGCATCAAAGATGCTTCGAATAAAACTCAAAAAAAGTCAGAGACCCAAATGGATGAATGGGATGCAGCCACTGAATCCACTGTAAAGGTTGTAGATTTGGAAAAGGGATCTGAACAAAATAAAAATAAAGTCGAAGCCCGACAACAATGTCAAAGCTTAGGAGCAGCAGATCAAAGATTTGTAAGCCAAAATTTCAAAGGCTAAGGAGTGGAAAGATGAACTCTTGAAGTTTGATCATGATGAAGCGGACAAAGAACTTCAAGTCGGCATGCATCACGTTTAACGGGCTCAAAAACTTGGGAAAGAAATTGAAGAACTTTCTACCAACAAATCTATCTGTGAGCAGCGCTTGATGCTTCAAAGGTCGAAATACCATAAGATGAAAAATTCCCCCCTTTTAATATGATTGTAACTGATGAACTTGTTCCTTTGTTGTATTGAATATAAGCTCTCTATGGAATTTGATGTAATGACTTAGTCATTTTGGCAACCTTTTTATCTTGATCCCCATTTTGGCTTCGACTATCTATGTATGAATTATTCCTTACTTAATTTTACTTCTTGAAGTGCAGCCTTATATTTCTTAAAATATTTACCATTTACTTTCAAGATTCTTCGATCTTCATCTAACTTTTCGAATTCATATGCGCCATTAGAAAAAACTTGGATAATTTGAAAAGGGCCCTCCCACTTAGGGAGCATTTCCCAAAGTTCTATCTTTTCGATCCATGGGCAAAATTACTTTCCAAAATAAATCCCCAGTCAAAAATAACTTTACTTTTACCTTTTTATTATATGACTTCTCTACTCTTTTCTTCTGCCTCTAAAATAATTCTAAGGAATTCAATCTCTCCTCATCTAAATCAACTAATTCATCCAATATTATGTTCCAATAGGATTCAGATGGGATCTCATGTTGTCTCTGAATTCTAGTCGATTGTAGGTAGATTTTGGCTGGTAACACTGCATTGTGACTATATGTTAGTCGAAAAGGTGTAGTGTCTGTAGCATCTTTAGGGGAAGTTCGACATGCCCATAAGATCTGGTCTAATGTCTTATGCCAATTCCTTGGCTTCTTCCTCACATGCTTCTTGATCAAGCCAGTCACTACTTTATTTGCTGCTTCGACTTGACCATTAGCCTGAGCATAGTAAGGTGCGGATGTCAATAGTTTGAACCCCATTTCTTTAGCAAATTCTTGATTTTTTCGACCAGTAAAAGCTGGTCCTTGATCTATTGTAATAGTTTCTGGGATTCCAAACCTATAAATGATATGTTTTTAATAGAACTCGATCAATGCATCCTGGTTAACATTTACCAATGGTATAACCTCAATCCACTTAGTGAAATAGTCTATTCACACTAGAATGTATTTTTGACTCTTGGATGATGCTGGTCGAATTTCCCCAACTAAATTCAAAATCCACCCTCTAAAGGGCCAAGGCTTCACTATAGAATGTAATTCGCTTGCAGGAACATGTTGAATGTCTGCATGTATTTGGCACTCTTGACATCATTTGGGGAGTTCGATACAATCTTTAAGCATGGTAGGCCAATACATCCCTTGTCGAAATAATAACCATTTCATTTTATGACTCACCTGATGCGCTCCAGATGCCCCACTATGGACATTAGAAAGAGCCAAGTATGCCTCAAACTCACTAAGGAATTTGAGTAAGACACCTTCAGGCGTCTTTTTGAATAGTTCTTCCCCATTAAAGCTTAAAGCATGATATTTGACTTTTCGTTCGACATATGTTGCTAGGTTTTGTAAGTAGTTTACTATTGGCTTTCTCCAGTCTTTGTCTGTCAAACTATCTATAGCCAATGTCTCAAAGCTCTCTTCGCCATCATATCCTAACTTCATACTTTTAAAGTCCGTTAGGGATAGTCTAGTAGACGCAACTCTTCATCTGACTTTGATTGCATCTTGTAATTTTTCTTTCAAAATTTTGTATCCATAAGCAATCTGGGCCAAGTTATTGGCCTCTTGATTCTCAAGTCGAGGTATGTGTCGAATACTTACCATTTCGAGTCTTTGTAATAACTTATTGGTTATCACAAAGTACATGATAAATTTTTTCTTAACACATTTATACTTCTTTGTAATTTTCTTTATAACCAACTCTGAGTCACCCATTATTTCGACTCGAGTTGCCCCCAATTCCAACAAGATTTCAAGTCCAACAACTAAAGTTTCATAATCAGCTTCGTTGTTTGAACAAAGGCCTTCGACCCTTTACTTGAATTTTGTTGGAATTTTGCTAGGAGAAATAATCAATACTCTCACACCCATTCCATCCTTATGACTAGAATCGTCGAAGTATAACTTCTAAGGTTCAAGCTCCACATAATTTAGGGACGTTTTGACTATAGAGTGATCGAATATAAAGTTTGCTACCACTTGGCCCTTAACAACCTTTAGAGGCATATAAGTTAAGAAATATTCAGTTAAGGCCAGTGCCCATTTTCCAACTCGACTATGTAAAATTGGTTTAGAAAGCATATGTTTAATAATATCGAAATGAGATGAAACTTAAACTTCAACTGACATTATACAATGCTTTAATTTTGTACATGAGTAGTAAAGACATAAACATAATTTTTCAACTATATTATATCTAGTTTCTGCATCATTTAAGATTATACTAAGGTAGTAAATGGCTCTTTTGACGCTAGTTTCATCCTCTTGAACCAACATACTCCGTCTTATCAGACGCAGATATGTACAATCTCATACTCTTATCCTTACAAGGAGGCGCCAGAATTGGAGGGTGAGCAAGGTAATCTTTAATCTTGTCGAAAGCCTCTTGTTGTGCTTGCCCCCATTCAAATCCTTCTTGCTTGAGTCGAAGTAGAGGTGAGAAGGCTTAAGTCTTGCCACTTAAGTTGGAGATGAATCTCCTTAGGAAGTTTATATTTCCTAGCAATGATTGCAACTCCTTCCTCATTGAAGACGCTTTTGCCTCCAGGATGGCCTTGGTCTTGTTCTGGTTAATTTCGATTCCTTTCTTATGGACCACAAAGCCTAGAAAATCCCCCTCCTGCACATAAAAAGCACACTTAAGAGGATTCATCTTTAGACCATACTTCCTCATTCTTTTAAATGATTGTCGAAGATGGTCTATGTGATTTTTTCTTGAAATTGACTTAACTACAATGTCATCAATATAAATTTGCATAAAAGTTTCAATAAAGTCATGAAATATAGAATTCTTTGCTCGCTGATAAGTGGCCCCGACGTTCTTTAGGCCAAAGGGCATTACCACCCATTCGAATGTGCCTAAGGCTCCAGGGCATTGAAATACTGTTTTTGACACGTCTTCTTCGGCAATGAAAATCTGGATGTATCCAGAATATCCGTCGAGCATACTTAGGTACTGATGTCCTGCAGCAGAATCGACTAACATTTCCGCCACAAGCATTGGATATTCATCTTTTGGGATTTCAACATTTAAGTCTCTAAAACCAATGCAAACCATCAAAGTTCCATTCTTCTTAATGACTGAAACAATATTGGCAATCCATTCGACATACCTAGTCGTACGGATGAATTTGCATCTCAGAAGTCTTTCGACCTCCTTTTTAATCTTTGAGAGAACTTCAGATGCAAACCACCTTGGAGTCTTGTTGATGGGCTTCTTCCTAGGCATTTCATCGTAATCTCACGCGAAGCAGTCTTTGAACTCCTTCAACAATTGAATCACTTCGACTATGAGTTGTGGCTCAATGTTGGCACTGATGTACGTTGATCTTTTGGTTGCCCCTTCTCTCAGGTTGATTTCTTTCAAAGGTTCTTGTGCCAACATCTTGATATTGTTTGCTAGCGAATCCTTTTCAAAACTCAAAGGCATGTCATCATAGATGGCGTATAGCCTTTGATTTTGCACTTCGACTTGATCCTTGTCCGATGGCTTCGGATCGAAGTCCTTCTCATAATTTTCAAAATGTTCTTCTTCATTTTTGGCTTCGACAGCCATGTATTTTACTTCAGTCTCTAGGGATGTTTTAAAAAAAAAATTAATCTTGTATCAGAATTGTAATCGGAATAATATTTTGTGACAATTTTTTTCCAAAGTAAAGTATAATTTAGGATAGAGAAAATATTAAAATTTCCAAAAAAAAAATAAGTGTGTTAACCTTAAAAAAAAGAAAAAGGTAGATATCCGGACAGTGGTACAAATGCAAGTATATCTAAAGATGAATCACATAGATGTATTATGGTTAGAAACAAACACGGATATCCCCAACCCATCTTTCAAACCAAACCACATTTCAAAAGAATTTTTTAACGAAAGATGTTAATTAAGATAAGAGAACCATAATAATAGTAAACCACATTTCAAAAGAATTTTTAACAAAAGATGTTAAGTAAGATAAGAGAACCATAATAATAGTAAAATAATATAAAACAAATGTAATTATGTAACAACTTTACAGGTGTAAACTTGTTAGGGTTCAGTTAGATGTCGAAGTGGGAAGTTATGGAAATTAATAGCAATGTTAAGTGAGCGTTGAGTGACGTGAAGTCCTACATTAATTCCTCCCATCTGCCCCCCTTCTCTTCATTGGCCCCTATGCCTTTAAAATCACACCTCTCTTCCATCCTACTTTCCTATCAAACCATCTTCTTCTTGTTCTTCTTATCTTCTTCTATCAATCACTTTTTTTACAACTTAAAAAAATAAGCACTTTTTGTTTTAAACATGCCTCCTATCTTGCCTGATTTCTCCAGCTCAGTTAAGCTCAAATATGTCAAACTTGGTTACCAATATCTTGTGAATCATATCATCACCCTCACTCTCATTCCTATCATGATTGGTGTTTCCCTTGAGATCATACGTTTAGGTCCAAACGAACTCCTAAACCTTTGGAATTCACTTCACTTTGACCTCGTACAAATCCTATGTTGTTCTTTTCTTGTCATTTTTGTATCCACCGTTTATTTCATGTCCAAACCTCGTACAATCTACCTGGTTGATTATGCTTGTTTCAAACCACCGGTTACCTGTCGTGTTCCGTTCGCTACTTTCATGGAACATTCCAGACTCATCCTTAAAAACAATCCGAAAAGTGTCGAGTTTCAGATGAGGATTCTCGAGCGGTCCGGTCTCGGCGAAGAAACTTGTTTACCGCCTTCGATTCATTATATTCCGCCGAAACCAACCATGGAATCGGCGAGAGGTGAAGCTGAGCTCGTTATTTTCTCGGCTATGGATTCGTTGTTCGAGAAAACCGGTCTTAAACCGAAAGATATAGACATTCTCATCGTAAATTGTAGTCTTTTTTCTCCAACACCTTCATTGTCAGCTATGGTTATTAACAAATATAAACTCAGAAGTAACATCAAGAGCTTCAATCTTTCTGGAATGGGTTGTAGCGCTGGACTCATTTCGATCGATTTAGCTCGCGATCTTCTTCAAGTTCATCCGAATTCAAACGCGGTTGTTGTTAGCACTGAGATCATAACGCCAAACTATTACCAAGGGAAAGAAAGAGCCATGCTTTTGCCGAACTGTTTGTTCAGAATGGGCGGTGCGGCGATTCTGATATCGAACCGATCGTCGGAGAAACGAAGAGCTAAATACAGATTAGTTCACGTCGTTAGAACACATAAAGGAGCGGATGATAAAGCATTCAAATGTGTTTTCCAAGAAGAAGACGTAGAGGGTAAAGTCGGAATTTCGCTTCAGAAAGATCTCATGGCAATTGCAGGTGAAGCACTGAAATCAAATATTACAACAATGGGTCCTCTTGTGTTACCAGCTTCAGAACAGTTACTCTTTCTAATCTCACTCATTGGTAGAAAAATCTTCAACCCTAAATGGAAACCCTACATACCCGATTTCAAACAAGCCTTTGAACACTTCTGTATCCACGCCGGTGGGCGTGCTGTGATCGACGAGTTACAGAAGAATCTTCAACTTTCAACCGAACACGTGGAAGCGTCGAGGATGACGCTTCATAGGTTCGGTAACACATCGTCTTCTTCGCTGTGGTACGAACTTAACTACATCGAATCGAAGGGAAGGATGAAGAAAGGAGATAGGGTTTGGCAGATAGCATTTGGCAGCGGATTTAAATGTAACAGTGCGGTTTGGAAATGTAACAGAAGCATCAAAACACCTGTTGATGGACCTTGGACAGAATGCATTGATCGTTATCCTGTTCATATTCCTGAGATTGTTAAACTCTAGAATATGAACTTGATTGAAGAGGGTAAAAGAATTGGTTCATTATTACTCTTCTATCTTTGTTGAAGTGAGATATGTTATAAGAGTCATTTGGTTGGTTATTTTACTTTTATATGATGATATTTGTAATTTTTATGTATTTTCCAAAGAATTACTACTACTACATGATAGGCTTTTTTATGTGAATTTGCATAGAAATTACTATTGGGGAATTCTGTGTATATTCATTAATATTGTGCAAAGTCATGTAAGTGATATATACTACAACTCTAAGTTCTACTTTATGTTTGCCTGTACTTTTAGGACCCAAATGTAAGAAATGATGTGATGTTAGAAAGGAAAGTTTAGGGGTTGTTTTTTGTTGGAGAAAAATATTTCATGTTTTCTCTTTTATTTATAAAAAGTTCATTACTTAATTAACTTAGTGTTTTTTAGATTCAAAGATTTATATAAATGTTATTATTATTTATTTAAAAAATAATGTATAATTTATAATTGCTAAAAATTTTAATTCAACTAGCAGAAATTGACATTACTAGATTGAACGTTGACATCAAAATTTAAAGCATAGTTCAAATTTAGTTCTGTTGAAAAATAATAAGAAGGGTGAGTTGTATGAAAAAGTTTCACATTGATTAGAAATGTGGAGACGTAACATTTATAAGTGTGAAAACCTATATATCTATCACCTTAATATTTTGAATGAATACGTGTTGTGTCTCTCACAATGGTGTCTTGCCCTTAAAGAAGAAAAAAAACTCAAAAGTGAAAAATACTCTCTCAGACCTCCTAAATAACCCCAACATTGATATCAAAGTATGACTTGAATGAAGAGACCAATTTACTTGTATCGAAATTTCATACTGGGTAAGAGGTGACTCGTTGAGAAGTGTCAACGGTGGTACACATCTATGTGGATAACTTACTTGTATCGAAAATTTTTATTGGGTAAGAGGTGTCTCGTTGACAAGTGTCAATGACGGTATGCATCTATGTAAATAAAAGAGTTTTCACTTGATTGAAGTATGTGGATAGACTCACATTTGAGAGGGAGTCTTGAAAAAGAATTAGAAGTGTAAGTAGTGTCCAGAAGTCGCATATTGGTTAGGAATAGGGAGACGAAAAGTCCCACATTTGTTAAAAATAAAGAGACTTGAAAATATATGGTGTGTCTCTCACAAACATATTATACTTTTAAAGAAAAAAAATCGCAAAAACATAAAATCCTCCGTCATGTTGACACTTATACATACTTGATGTGTGTGATATTTTAGGAAGTATTATCACTTCTTTTAAATTAAAAAGAATAGTAGGTAGCTACCAATCTTAAAATACACATTATTTAAAATATACAGTTGGCATTTAAAAAAAAAGCAGTTGGCAAGTGATCCTTTTTGTTTCGATATGGTAGTTTTCAATTGCTCTGTCATTTGGTAGTGAGTATATATATACATGCATTAAATGTATGGTTTCTTTTGTGTTTCTCTGACACTCTTGGCAAGAAGATTTTGTTGACTGGGGCCATGATAATTGGGATGGTTTGTTGGGGGTTAGGGATATCAACATCTTTCAATTAATTATTTGATATAATGAGCCGAAAGAATTGTAAACATTGCTAGGGAGGATTCACTTGAAAATTCACAAGTTTAATATGTGAACATTGTAATAATTGAATTAGTAATGTATCAACATCTTTCATAAATAAAACGATTTTGGATTTTGGATTGAACTTTTACAAGTTTGTTGATGTAGTGATTAGTTATTTTGTCTTTTCAAAGTTAGAAATGAGGTTATCTTCTTAAATTCTACAAGTGAATTTATTAGCTTAAAAGAGATAAGATTAACTTTATTACTTGTTGGAAATGGTTTAGTTTATAGTCAAAAAATAAATGGGGTGGTGTATTTTTTTAATGAATGGTCCTGCAATGTTGTTGAGTGATGTTCATAGTTTGTAATTTTGGTCTTTTGGCATCATCTCTTATTGGTGCTTGAGACACGTGTATAAAGGGTTTGTGTACTCTTCCGTAAAAGAAGCCACATTAAATCTACCATAAAAGAAGCCACATAAAAGTAAATGTGAAGATCACATATTCACCTAAATATTGTTAAGTTATTAAGTGTATAGAATATATAGGGAGTTCAATATCCATGTTCTATTCAATATGAATATTTTAACTCAAATTTGATACATGACAACATTCTTTCTTATTAATTCCATTTAAAACTTTTTGAAGCTTTCAATAGAGCTTTTAATGTAGTTATGGTTTAACTGTGATAAAATACTTATGATTTATTAGTCGCGATTAAGATTTATTTAACTATAGTTTAATTATTAAAAAAATTTACGCCTTATATTATAATACATTTTGCTCATTAATATGATCACCGACCCTATCTCTCAAGTGTGAGATCTCTTACATCTTTTAGTATATTAAAAAAGACCTTTAGCAGCATTTTTTTTTTGCCTTTAACAGCGCTTAAAGGTAAAGACAGCGTTTTTTCTATTGAAAAATCGCTGCTAAAGGCTCCCTTTAGCAACGCTTTTAGCAGCGTTTTCTTAGTCCTTTAGCAGCGCTTTCAAAGCGCTGCCTATTCCCCCTTCCCCTCCCTTCAGCAACGCTTTTAGCAGCGCTTTGTTCACCCTGTAGCAGCACTTTCCCCTCCCCCCTTTAGCAGCGCTTTTTAAAAGCGCTATCTTAGGCCCCCCTTTAGCAGCGCTTTTTTAAAGCGCTTTCTTAGACCCCCTCCCTTTTCCAACCTATAACAGCGCTTTTTTGGCCTCTCTTTGCCCTCTTTAGCAGCGCTTTTTATAAAAGCGTTGTCTATTCTTCACGATTTTAAAATTTTTTTTTTTAAATAATCACATTTTTTTATATATTTTTCGATAAACCTGCTTATAACAAATACATTCTCTGCTTATAATTCAGGCCTTTAATTCAACAGTTTGGCCTTATATATAACAATTACTTTGGCCTTATTTATGTGTATTCATCACTTTGCCCATAACCATTTTAATACACATAAACCTGCTTAAATATATTACAACATCACAAATACATTCAATTTACAACATCACAAATACATTCAATTTACATATGATTACAAATCCGATAACTTTACAAATAGATACGTTATACAATTCTCAACTCAAGAATAAATTGACACCAGTCCTCCTTAATTTCTTCCAATCTTGCTTTCAAGTAAGTACCGCACTTGTATTCATCAAAGTACTACATAATATAACAGAACATGCACAATTTAATTTTAAAACTATTTACTCAGATGAAATATCGGTTAATTATCAAAATGAATCATATAACTTATGAATTGATCCATACCATGATTGGAATCTCTATTTGACCTGAAAGAATAATTTCCTTCATAAAGCGCAATACAAAATATCCGCAGTCAATCCCATTGCGCTGATGAGGACACTGTAAATGGAAAAAACAAACTAACATTTATCAGGATATATAGTTTAAATAGTTTTATCAAGTAGAACCGCTATAACAGTCAAACATGGGAAAATATACCTCCACTCTGATCCAGCTGATGTTGTTAGCCTTGTTTTTTGACACTGTTGCATCTCTTTGTGCTTTGAATATTTGTATAACTCTAACATAATATAAACGCATATTTAGAACAATGTCACATAATAAATAAAGATATATAACTATTCAGAACAATATATCTCATTACTTACGTATCAACCATGTTCTTCAAATCAGGATATTTTGTTGTATCATCATCCAATGAATCTATATAATACACTATTTCTTTCATCGGATTAATCGCGACCAACAACCAGTATCCACTATAAAATAAGACAACAGTTTAGACGAAAATGTTATATAGATTAATGGCAAAAATCGAATAATTATAATAAATGAATTTAGAATAAAATCTAACCCATGGCCAGTATTATATGGCAACAAGAACAACTTCTTTGTAGTCGCGGCCATAAATCTTTGGACCATGTAATCTTTGACTGAATCTGGTGTGTGCTCTATTGCCTGTGCGTTGATACAGCTAGCAGATAAGAATGTGAATATGGAAGTCAAATCATGCGGGACCAACAACTTGTCATACAGGAGCCTAAAAGAAAAACATAATCAACATTAGAATATTCAGTTAAATGAGCAAATTTTAAAATGTTCAATTATTTAATTAAAATGGATCGGAGTACCTGATGTAGGAATGCATAACACCGACGCCCAATTCAGAATGTTGGAAAACCTGGTCAAAATCCTCCTTAGCAAGTGTTTCGGGATATTCAAAACCGAAAATACCTTCCTCCATAGGTATTTGACGGATGCCACCCTCAGTCACATCTGTTGTTCCTAAATATGTTTCAAGGCACATCCTAAATCGAGGAACAAATGCTTTTTTTGACTCGGTCTTTTTTTTGTTGGGCACCTTGGAAGTTTTAGGCATCTTACCCTTGCTGACTTGTTGCAACTGCTGATCATGAACCTAAAAGTCATATATAAGTTCAGTAATTAATGTATAATAAGATAACCATGTAACTGTATTAGTACTTGTTTCTTTGATGCAGCTGAATCGGTATCCCGCACAATAATTCTATCATCTTTTGATTTGGATTTTGTAGGAGTCTAAGATCATCATGTAAATAAGAAAATGTAAATGTAAGAATAACTTTCATCTATGGGTCGTAAAACATTTGAATATTACAAGCTAGGTTCATAATTTCAATTTAATATATACAATTACCCTAAACAAATAATGATGCCGATTAATGTGTCAATTAAGAAAATTGTGCTAAATTAATTTCAATGTAATATATACAATTACCTCTGGAAGCTTCTGCGGACAACCGATACTATCTTTTTCACTAGCATCTTTACCCTCTGGATCGCGCCTTTCTGACATGTATCTTTCTTTGTCCTTCTGTAATTCCCGAATCTGAGCTTTCAATTCCTCCAACATATCCATCACTTCTTTATTGCTAGGATTTTTTTTCTTTGGCTTCTTATACAATTGTG